AGGATTTTTCTGAGGAGAGGACATCTTCGGGAAAAAAAATGAAAGGATTAAATCAAAAGCCAATGGTAAATTATTAAGTGTTCTTGCTGCTTGACCAATATTCACCTAAAAATACAAGCTTACCCTCTTTAAAAGTAAGTTCTGAGGTCCTTCTAAGTTCACTCAAGTTCCACAGAATGGATAGAGGAAGAACACGTGGGGAAAAACTTGTTATGCCTTATTATGTCAGCACAGAGGAGGCAGTGAGTGTTCTAAAACAATATGCTCCTGCCCTAGCTCGGAAACCAAAATTATCTTGTTAGCACCTAAAAACAAATGCAATGTTTAAATTTCACTAGTTTCTATCTTAAAGGTTGCCTTCTCTGATTTTGTCTCTAATTCTGAAGGGCATGCTGTTTGGGACTTAGAACTTTCTCCAACAGAAGCAGAGTAAACAGTACTGCTGAGTAAAACTAGAGCACAAAGAGAATAATTACTTCAAGAAAACAAAAATGCTTTTTCCAAATTATTTAAACAAATAGCTATTGTTTAATTTTTCAGAAAATGAGAAAAATGGAACTTTTCGTCAAGGAAAAGCAATAAAAGTCACAAGTAGGCCAGATCTCTTTAGAAAAAAATGCTACACTAAGTATATAAGTAGAGCTATCTGAAGAGGAAAGGTATGAATATTCTCTCCACATTAATGACTCTGAAACCAGTTATCTGTAGAAAACAGGACAGATTGAATTTTTACGGCTAATTAAGAACACGTACCGGTTTGACACCTTCGGGACTCTGGCATCAGTAATTCTAATTTTGTGTCTCCTACTAATTTACATTTGAGCACAATGAATGTGATAGCAGCAGCCAGATTAAACTGATTATTTTTGTTAAATACTGAGTTGCAGAAACAACAGGGTCAGAATAAAGGCAGGGTTTCAGAATTTAACCTCTTGAGACATATGACCTCACAGTTCTAAATACACAGGCTAGCTTTAATAGATGAACAATGGACCACTACTTCATAGACGTTACTGATATTTTCCAGTTAAAGAAACGATAGCAAAAATAATGAGGTTCTTGTTTCGCTTCTAAGATTACTTTTTACAGAGTATGTTTGAAGATTTTGAACACAATAATTAAAAGCAAGATATGAGTCCCAAAGCAACAAATCAGTGGATAGGAATAGTTAACCCTGAAACAGACTCAGGGTATATAAAAACTTTCTATCTAAAAATGGAAGTATCAGTAACCAATAGATAAAAAATGAATCATTTCACAAAAGACATTGGGAAACATTATTAATATTAATCCAGCCTTGTAAAGCTGTTAGAGGTGGAAGAACACAGCTAATGCAAAAAGCCTTAAGGTCCCTAACAGCTTGGCGAGTTCAAAGAGCAAAAGAAAGCCAGTGAGGATGGAGAGTAGTGGGGAAGGGGGAAACTGTTGTGAAATGTTAGACAAACATTTAGGGACCAAATAGATCATGTAGACCTTTGTAAGGAGTTTGCATATTATTTTAAATGTGATGGGAAGTCATGGAGTATACCGAGTAGGGGGAATGATTTGATCTGATTTGCAGTTGTGAAAGCTCCCAATAGTAGTGGAAAAAGGATTACAGAGGGCCAAGAATGAAAGAAAGTAGTCTTGTGAGGAGATTAAAGTACTGGTCCTAGTGAGAGGTAATAGTGGCTTGAACTGGGATGGTAGAGGTAGAGACAATAGAAGTGATGGATTCAGTATTGACTCTGAAGATGTAGTCACAATGATTTGCTGATGGATTAGAAGGATTAGTGGGGACAGGGGAGTAGAAGGTAAGAGGGGAACAGAGTTCCTATGTTTCTTGGCTTGAACAGTGTGGTGCCTGGTGAAGCTTACTGATACGGGTAAGACTGATGGAGGAGGAAATACGGAGAAGAAATCAAAAGTTTGCTATGGCCATGTTAAGATGAAATGCCTATTAGACATCTGTTTGGAACTGTTAAGTGTGCAGTTGCATATTGGGTCTGCAATTCAGGGACTAGATATATAAATATCTCAGGACTGGAGATACAAACTTGGGAGTCATCAGCACATAATTTTTAAGCTATGGACCTAGTGGCGTTACCTAGGGAGAATGCATAGGAAGAGAAAAGAGCCCATGACAAAGCTCTGAGCACTCCCAACAATCTAAGTAAGGTCTAGCTGGGAGGAAATCAGCAAATGAAAATGAAGAGTGGTCAGTCAACCAATTTGGAAGAAAACCAGGGAAGTGTGGGCTCTCAAACCAAGAGAAGAACATTTCAAGAAGAAAGCAATGCTTTGACCTGCTACTAAGTTTCAAGAAGGTAACAGTGGTTCCACTTGCTGCTTCAGTTGGAACACACAGCAGTAAGAACGGTCAAGTCATCACTAGCTTTGGAAACAGAGGTTTGGTTATGCCATAAGAACAGTCTTACAGTATGATGGGAATGGCTGCTTGACTAGAATGGGCTAAGGAGAAATTGTCAAGTAGAAATTGGAAGTAGAAATCTAGTTAGAGGCAACTTCAAAATTTTTCCTGAGGAGAGCAGAGAAATGGGGTGGTATAAAGGTTCAAGGCAGTTTTTTTTGTTGTTAAAACGGAAGGCAAATTCTGGCATGCTAAGACCCCCACCCCTTAAGATCCAATCACCAACGGAGAACACACCCTACCCCTACTCCTTAAAACCATGCTTCCTCACCCATGAGCTGCTGCTCCCTCTCTCTGGGGGCAGCCATTTTCTCATTCAGATAATAAAATCTCTTGTGTGTGCCAGTGTCTCCTGAGTCGTTCTGGGCTAAGGAGGGTCGCGGCGAGATACCCTTTCAAAAATAGGAACCAGAACTGGTTGCACATAGATGGAAATGATCCAGTAGAAAAGGAGAAATCAATGAGATAGGAGCGAGAAAGGATAATCAGTGGAGCAAAGCTCTCAAGGAGAGAGGAGAGATTATCTAGAACACAAATGGAGGGATGGCCATTTGTAGCAAGTCCACCTCACTGTGAAGAGGAGGATGAGGAATTGAGAAGTCAAGGAGTTGGATGAAAAATATGGATAACATTTTGAAAAATGAAGTGGCTGAGAAGTGACAAGAATAGTGGAGGAAAGAAAGACAGTGAGCCATGAACAAATGAAGGGGGAAGTTACTAGGGATCAGTAGGTGACAGCATCTTGGTGTAGTGGCAGTAGGCATTAAATTTAAGAGCTAGGGTTTTTGAAGGAGGAAGAGAAATGATTTGGAGGCAACATGAGGAGATAAGAATACCTGCGGGAGGAAAAATAATCTACACTTGAAAAGTTGCAAAGGAGGTAGTTTTGCTAGCTGATAAACAAGTTTTCAGTTGGAACAGGAAGTTGATGGGAACTTTTAAAGAAGAGCTGAAGAATAAAGGGGAAATGGCTGATAACAGATGTTGAAATCTGAAGTGTGGAGTGAAATGATGAGGATGGTTGGTGAAAGGAATAAAGAATCAGGTTAATAGAAGTGGAGGGTAGCATAGAGATGCTAATCAGGGTGATAATGGTGGATGACCTGGAGGCAGTTGGTTGAGACTGAGTGGAAAGGAGTATAAAGTATGATGAAATTGTCTTTTTGTAATCTTTAGGTAGGGAGGGGAGATGGGTAAACTGTTTAAGATGAGTTATATAGAGCTACACAAACTCTTCTCTCTTGCAGGTCTTGTGGTATAGAGAGGTAACTGGATCATGTGTTAATAATTCATTTAGGATTTTTGCATTTATAATTATAAAATACGGTTTATAGATTTCCTTCTAGTGTTGTTAGGTTTTTATAACAAGATTATGATCTCCCTTCAAAAGAAGCTGTTATTTTTTTCCCAAGTATTTTTACCGTGGGACCAGCTGGTCTACTGCATTTTAGTGTAGAGGATACCTTGCCTACATTTCTAATTTAATTTATCTATTTATATTTTCTACATTTTAAGCTTTTCGCTAATTTGTATTTTTTCTGGTATAAAGATTTTTTTCTAAGTGTATTTTTCGTGTCAATTGCTTGTGTGAACATTTTTGCCATTCCCATGTCTATACTAGTAATATTCCACTTGAAAATCTTGAAGACTTATCGGCAGAGTTGATGGTGACGCTGCCAAAAACGAGTTAACTTTAAACTGATTGACAAGAACGTTTGCTGCTAAGAACATACTAACGTGCCCACTTCTAATGTTTATTTTAATTATGGAAATCTGTGCAAGATTTTAGCGCTTAGATTGTAACGTTCTGAGCGGAATAGAAAGATACCCAAATTGTTAAGACCACTGGAGCGACTGGTAGTTTTTGTAAGCTGTTTTCAAGCGGTGCTGTCGAAGGGGTAAACAAACTGTTGTACGGAGGGCTCGTCACTAAAAGCATTACGTTTGACAATAGTGGACCTGTTTAAAAATTAATTGAAATATAACCCTTTGAAATCTCCGACACACCTAGTTGTGTGAAACGAGACTGTGCAGTGCAGCTGATGGTGGAAATTTCCCAAGTTTTCTTAACTGGATTGCCTCACTCAACTCCCAGTCGGATACGTCCCACCCGAATCCAGCTCGAGTACCACGCTTTTTCCAATTCACCTTTCAAAGTGAGGGTTTTTTCCCCCGCCATTTCAGTTAGGACCCGCAGGTCTTTCCCCCAGATTGCCCATCCTCGTGGGAGGCTAGAGCCTTCAAACGCTTTCCCTGCCAGGCGCAGCAGAACGCAAGGGCAGGACGCGGCATTACGATCCCTGGGACTGAGCCAAAAAGTGACGGACCAAGTTGCTTGAAAAGGGCTCAGAGTCCGCAGAAAACCCAAGGGCTAAAACCCTCACCGCTAGAGTAAGCGAACCGGGTTTCGCGCGGCTTGCGCACGGGATCAGCGCCCGCGCCGCGAAGAAAAAGCTCGGCCGTTGCAGGGAGGAGCGCGCGTTGGGGGCGGAGGGCGGGATCCCGCAGACTCGGTTCCGGATTGGTCGGGCCCCGAGAGCCGAGTGACGACAGTCGGGGACAACGTCTGATTTGTGTGGTGTGCACGGGCGGGCGGGGGAGACGCACTGCGCAGGCGCAGCTGCTCGGTTCCTCTCGTCCTGGCGCTCCGGCCCGCTCTCGCGGACAAGTCCCGACATCGCGCGCCGCCCCCCCCCGGTACCGCCCCCTCCCCTTCTGCGTCTTCGAAGATAAACAATAGTTGGCCGGCGAGCGCCGAGTGTGTCTTTCGCCTCAGGGTTCGGCGGGCTGCGTGGGACCGGCGGGATCCCGGTCAGCCGGCCATGGCGGGGCTGTACTCGCTGGGAGTGAGCGTCTTCTCTGACCAGGGCGGGAGGAAGTACATGGAGGACGTTACACAAATTGTGGTGGAGCCCGAGCCGACGGCTGAAGAAAAGCCCTCGCCGCGGCGGTCGCTCTCGCAGCCGTCGCCTCCGCAGCTGTCACCGCCGGCTGCCGCCAGCGAAGTCCTGGGGAAAGGCCCCGCGGTGGCAGCCCGAGAAGCTCGCGATCCGCCCCCGGACCCCGGGCCCTCGCTAACTCCCGGTCGCCGCTGCCCACGCCGTTCCTCGGTGGCGTTTTTCGCCGTGTGCGACGGGCACGGCGGGCGAGAGGCGGCACAGTTTGCCCGGGAGCACTTGTGGGGTTTCATCAAGAAGCAGAAGGGGTTCACCTCGTCCGAGCCGGCGAAGGTTTGCGCTGCCATCCGCAAAGGCTTTCTCGCTTGTCACCTCGCCATGTGGAAGAAACTGGGTAAGTTCCCTGGCTTGTTTGGCGCCCGCCTCTTTTTCAGTCAGTTGAGGGGTTTTATAGCATCAGCACCGCGTTGGGCCCCCGTCACCGAGAGCCCTATCAAAGTGTACACGGGTGGAAGTGAAGACTTCTCGGGCTCACAGTGCTTTCCGGGGTGCAAGTCTGGGCATACAGAACGCCCTTAGGAACACAGGATCGTTGTCTCCCTGCATCTGCTCTTTGCTTTATTTCTATCCGCTATGGATCAATTGGAAACAGTCTTCTCCGTTGGCGGCATCGCTTTGCTGACAACCAGCGAAACATGTTTGAAACCTGGCGCCAGAGTTTGGCCAAAAGGTGTATTGAAGACTTATTACTGTCCGCCACGCGAAGGAAGCGGGAGATGGTACAAATTACAGTGTTTCCTTAGAATCTGTCATAATTTTGCTCTTGAAGAACTTGTCCCTGTCGGTTGCCTCCTACTGGTGGTGTCAGTACTGCAGATTGACGGCAGGAGGCTGGTAGTTGGAGTAAACTGTAAGCTTACTTAGAAAGGCTAAAATGTAATCGTCCAGCGACTTAATGTCTGGGAAGGAATTGGGTTACGGTGATTATAAAATGTTATTAGGATCTTTATGCTTGAACTGCTTATGGAAAATAAATGCGCCGAATGCGTTGTTACCTCTTTAAATTGACCCCATATTAGGAGTATGTTTTAAATGTTTTTAGGGCGTTGTTAAATTACACTTTTTTGGAGGTAGTTGCCGTAGCTAATTGCTGTCAGATAGTTCTCAACATTTCCTACTTAAAAGTAGTTAGAATTTGTAACTGCCGGTCAAAGTTGCAAGAGATAAGGAATAACTGATATAGTAAAAAGAAATAGAGACCTTTGTTTCTAAAAATTTGATGTAGTTTCGTGTAAGCTTTAATGTTTTCTAAAGCAACCAATGTTTCTATACCCAACATGTTACCATACAGAGTTGTACTTGCTAGTCATTGCTATGAAATGAATGGCATGAATCTTTCTTAGAGAAAAGGTAAATCTGTCTTTAAAGAAATCCTCTTGTTTATGGTAGTATAATGTTGCTTTATTTTCAGCAAAGGGAGAGAGAACATAGAGAAGGCTGTCAAGATTGTAAAGATTGGTCAAATACAGAACATTTAAAAAAGATATTGTCAAAGAATTGAAGACCAGCTTCTTTAAAAGCCTGTTTTCTATTTGCCTGGCTTTCTGCCAAGAATTATTTGATTGACTCAGAGAACAACCAGTCCGCCCGTGGGAGGCGTTTCTTATCCAATCCCCGAGGCCCCTATTATTGATTTGTTTTGTTTTGTGTAGGCGGAGCAGAGCTGAAAGCACTGCAGTATATTCCAGAAATGTGTTATTTCATTGCCTGCAAGGCGACTGGGAGTGAACAGCCAGACAACAAGATAGAGGCTGATTAGACACAAAGAACTAGTTAGAGTCCTGTTTATTTTGTAGTTCAGTTGGAGCAACGTGTATTTGCCATATGTTTGAACTAAAATGATCAAGTATAAACCCTGTTACTTGAACATTTTTAATAAAGCAGGGACTATGCTGTTAAATGTGAATGTGTGTTATTCATTCTAAAATATGTATTATAAAGTTTCTTTTTAAAAACTGTACTTCAGTCCCAAATTCATGTTTAGCTCCTAATTTTCTATAAAGTAAATTGCAGTTTGTAATCTACACACGAAGTCCTTCCAGTCCAACTTTCAGTTTTATCTGTTATTCACATTTGTGTCACGTTAGGCTATTCACCTTTTTCCCAGGGCACGTGGAAACATCCCAGTTTTTTTATTTCCCCCTCTCAACTTAAAAAAGAACTGAAAAATATACTCCTCAGGCTCTAAGACAGTAACTATGTTTTCTTCTGTGGGGAATTTTGTTCATTTTAGCATTAAGTATCCTGTATTTCTACTTTTGTAGTGCTCATTGGGTGACAACAGTGGTTCTCAAACTTTCTACCCTCAGAACCTTTTGTACTCTTAAATGATTGAGGACCCCAAAAAGCTTTTGTTTCTATTTCTACACATATATTTACTATATGAGAAATTAAAAAAATTATAATACATCAAAATATAAATGTATTATATGTTAATATATTTTAAAATGAAAAATGACATTTTTCCAAAATAAATACTGAAATAAATAGTCTCCTATCTGCTTCTGCATTCTATCTGTTGTGCTATGTTGTCTGGTTGAAGTATGTAAAGAAAAGGCAGCCTCACACATACATGTAGTAGGAAAACGGTGGAATTGTTTATTAGTCTTTTCAGATGATTGTGGGTATTCTACATCAAAAGTTTCTTAAAGTTTAGTCAAACTGGAATCTGAAACCTTATCAATAAACTTTTTGTATTTTTACATTAAGAAGTGTTGTTCTCTATTGCACTTTCAATGAATCTTTTACCCATGTGTGATTTTGTGACATGGCATATTAGTCATTTGGAAAATAGTGGTTCACTGAGTTATGCAGAAATTTCAAATATTGTTGTACTTTATTATACAGTATCAAAACACATTTGTTAATATCACTGATCTCATCAGAGAGTCTTTAGATTGGGAAACTGTCTAGTTCATTGTAGTGGATGCATATTTTCCAAATTGGGAGTTTTTAAGCCCCAGTTAAAAAAAAAAAAAAGTGAAAATGGTGGTCCATGAAAAATGTGGTTTGTTCATTTCATAACTGATACAACTGCATGTACTTTTTCTCTGAACAGCCATAGTATGCGAAGAGAAGTCTGTTGTGTATACTTCCTTTTTTGTCATACAGAATATTAAAAATATGTGAATTAATTTTTACTGCATGATCAAGGACATTCCTAAGTGAAACTAGTTTACCTTTTTTTGTTTATTTGACTCTGAGTGGCTATGGAGAATACAGTGACTACTCGTTCATTTTGGTGCCACTGCCTTGTTTCCTGATGCTCCAGCAATTCTACTAACCATTGCTTTTGAACCATCAGTGCAAATGTTAACACAGTGAAAAGGGCAAATTATTAGAATTATTGCGAAAATAGTTTTGGTCTTGTGAAATCCCTATAAAGATCACACAGACCAATGTGAGGTAACCATTATATTTTGTCTGCCTTGCAGCTAAATCTTGAGAAGTCACTGGGGACAAAGATACTGCCTTACACATCTCATAATTATTCTCTTGTGCAAAGCAACTGCTAATTTAGTTGAATTTTTATGGCTTTCTTAAGCCTTTTTAAGGCTTAATGTTAAATTAGCTTTCTTATCTGTTTTCTAATTAAAATTTTTTTCCACTGTTAAAAACTGTGGTAAAATACACATAAGATTCACCATTAGGGAGTTTTAAGTGTACAATTCACAGTATTGTGTCACTATCCATTTTCAGAACTTGTTCATCATCCCAAACAGAAACTCTGTACCCATTAAGCAATAATTCCCCATTACTGTGTTCCCCAGCTCCGGGTAACCTTGATTTTACTTAGTGTTGCTATGAATTTGCCTACTATTAGGTACCTAATATAATTGGAATGGTACAGGATTTGTTCCTTTGTATGCTTTCAGTTAGAAAAATGCCTTTAAGGTTCATCCATATTGTAACATGTATCAGAATTTTCTTCCTTTTCAAGATTTGACTAATATCCTATTGTTTGTATCTTGTTTATCCACTCATCTGTTGATGGACATTTGGATTGTCTGGCTATTATGAATAAAGGTGATGTAAGGCTTTTCTTTACAGTGAAGTCCACTAGTAAATGTAGAAAGAATAATAGAACTACTAAGTCACATTTGATAACCATAATAATTGATTCAGCCAAGAAACATCTATGATTGCTGAAACTAGTGAGTGAAAATTTGAGGAACTCAATTATATTATGTTCCCAGATATACTCTAACAAATTAACACAAATTGGGTGACTTAAAATAACATAAATTTATTCTCTCCTAGTTTTGGAGGCCAGAAGTCTGAAATCAAGGTGTTAGCAGAGTTGATTTCTTTTTGGAGGCTCTGAGGGAGAATCTGTTTCATGCTTCCTTCTACTTCCTAGTGGCTGCCAGCAATCTTTGGCATTTCTTGACTTGTAAATGCATCACTCTGCCTCCAGTGTCATTCTATCATCTCCCCTGTTTCTTCTCTTCTAAGGACACTTGTCTTTGGATTTAGGGCCTACTGTAATCCAGGGTGATCTCTTCTTAACATCTTTAACCTAATTACGTCTGCAAAGACCCTTTTCCCAAATAAGGTCACATTCACAGGTTCTGGGTGAACATGACTCTTAGTGGGGAGGACACTATTCAACCCATTACAAGCATATTTACATTGCTTCAGATTATCTCCCTATGTAATACTTACTATTTACAAAAGGAAAAAGCCTATAATGAAGAATACTAATAGATACCACCATAATCAAGTGATCAAAGGTAGCATGACTTTTTATGGGGCAGATTGAAATTGTATACTGTCTGCAATGAGATTATATTTAACACTTTGTGGTATTCCTTCCAAAAATGCATAATTTGAATACAAGCATGAGGAACTTGAAACAAACCCAAACTGAGGGGTGTTCTTGAAATTATTGGCGTGGTAGAGCTTCTAAAACGCATGAAGGAAACAATGAGGAATTGTTCCAGATTGAGAGACTAAAGAGACGTGATATGTAATGTAATAAGGGATCTTAAATTTTATCCTTTTATTATAATTACAGAATAATTTATGAAATTTGCGATTGATGGGTTAGATGGTAGTATGGTATCAGTGTTAATTTCCTGATTTTGATGGTTAACTGTGGTTATGTAGGAGAATGCCCTTGCTTGTAGGAATTAGATACTATAATTGGTGTTTGGAAGTGATGGGATATCTTGTTGGCAGTTTACTGTCTATTGGTTCAAGAAAAAGAAACTCTTTGATTTAGTCCTGCAACAAAGAGAAAGTAAAGTTGAAGAATCAGGTTTCAGAAAGATCAGAAACCTGGGTGCCCCCAGGAATCTAAGCAAATTTCATAAGGGTCCTGCTGCTGGATGC